TCCGAAGGGGGACAGGACGGTGCATGCGGCTTCCTTGGCCTCAGAGGCGGAGGAACTAGGTCTGAGGTGTAAGACATGGCGAGAGGCAATGGATGGCAGGTCAGAGCAAACGTAGAAAACAGTAAAAAAGCCAAAAACCGAGGCTCATCCCTCCCCACCACCGCCCCACGCCGAGGTCGCGGTGGCGGGGAACGTGGCGTGGCCGGGCCAGCGCTAGAGAGGATGCCGTTTCCGGCGACAACCCCGGGATCACAGCAGACCCCGCCGGCACCCAGACTCTATGGCATCTCCTCCCCCATCAGCTTAGCCGCCCCCAAGGAGACAGACTGCGTACTGACCCAGAAATTAATTGAAACCCTGAAGCCCTTTGGGGTTTTGGAAGAGGAAGAGGAACTGCAGCGCAGGATTTTAATTTTGGAAAAATTAAATAATCTGGTAAAGGAATGGATTCGAGAGATCAGTGAAAGCAAAAGTCTCCCACCCGCTGTGATTGAGAACGTCGGCGGCAAAATCTTCACGTTCGGCTCCTACCGGCTAGGGGTGCACACCAAGGGCGCCGACATCGACGCGCTGTGCGTCGCGCCGAGGCATGTGGACCGCAGCGACTTCTTCACTTCCTTCTACGACAAGTTGAAACTACACGAGGAAGTCAAGGACTTACGGGCGGTGGAGGAGGCGTTTGTCCCCGTGATCCGACTGTGTTTTGATGGGATCGAGATTGATATTTTGTTTGCAAGATTAGCACTGCAGACTATTCCAGAAGACTTGGACCTAAGAGATGACAGTCTGCTTAAAAATTTAGATATTAGATGCATAAGAAGCCTTAATGGTTGCCGGGTAACCGATGAAATCTTACATCTAGTACCGAACATTGACAACTTCCGGTTAACTCTCAGAGCTATCAAGCTGTGGGCCAAATGCCACAACATCTACTCCAATATATTAGGGTTCCTGGGAGGCGTTTCCTGGGCCATGCTTGTAGCAAGAACCTGCCAGCTGTATCCAAACGCAGTGGCATCAACCCTTGTCCGTAAATTTTTCTTAGTGTTTTCTGAATGGGAGTGGCCAAATCCAGTGCTACTGAAAGAGCCTGAAGAACAAAACCTTAATCTGCCTGTATGGGACCCAAGAGTGAACCCCAGCGACAGGTACCACCTGATGCCTATAATCACACCGGCATACCCACAGCAGAACTCCACCTACAACGTGTCCGTGTCCACGAGGATGGTCATGATTGAGGAGTTTAAACAAGGTCTTGCTGTCACACATGAGATCTTGCTAAGTAAGGCAGAGTGGTCCAAACTGTTTGAAGCTCCAAGCTTCTTTCAAAAGTATAAGCATTATATTGTACTTCTAGCAAGTGCACCAACAGAAAAGCAGCGTCTAGAATGGGTGGGCTTGGTGGAATCAAAAATCCGAATCCTGGTGGGCAGCTTGGAGAAGAATGAATTTATTACACTGGCTCACGTGAATCCTCAGTCATTTCCAGCACCCAAAGGAAATCCTGACAAGGAAGAATTTTCCACAATGTGGGTGATTGGGTTAGTATTAAAAAAGCCAGAAAATTCTGAAGTTCTCAGTATCGATCTCACCTATGATATCCAGTCTTTCACAGACACAGTTTATAGGCAAGCAATAAATAGTAAGATGTTTGAGATGGATATGAAAATCGATGCAATGCATTTAAGAAGAAAGGAGCTCCACCAGCTATTACCTAATCACGTGCTTCAGAAAAATAAAACACATTCAATGGAAGAGGTCAGGCTGACAGCTTTGAATGACAGCAGTCTTGACTCGTCTGCTGACAGTGAAAACAGCGTGTCTGTGCCTTCACCTGCAAGCACTGTGAAGAATGGCCCAGTGACTGGCTCCTCTCAGGGCAGAAACAGTCCTGCTCTGGCTGTAATGGCAGCATCTGCGACCAGCGTACAGGTTACTGAAGTTACCTTGCAGCAAGGGAACCCCAGTGAGAGCCCGGGGGGTGCAAGCGAAAGCGTTCCTCAGACTGCCTCACAAGCAGCCATTTCTCCACCTCCAAAGCCCACGATCACTAGACTTGTTTCTTCAACACTTCTGGTAAACCATGCCCCCAGGCCTGCAGGGGCCGCAGCCACGAACATAGCTAACCCTATAGTAGGCGTCTAGAGGACTGTCTCACCTCACGCAGACGGGGGACCGAGGAAGCTACGGTAGAAGAGGAGCGATCTTGTGAAGAGACAGCACAACTCCACGAGGCGTACGCAAACAGCAGCTTCTGTTGGCCGCAGGAAACATCCAATAGAAACCTTTCCAATGTCCCTGCTCTCCCTGCAAATCCTATTCCTGTTAACAAGACTTCAATAAAACAGATTGAACTGATAAACACACCATCAAGCTTCCATAAATAGTATCTGCCAACTCGATCTGTTGTCTTCAAATGCTAACGGAGGAGAATGAAGGGTGCCAACTAGATCAGACTCCAAAGAGATTTAGGCTGACTTGGTAACTCCCTTTGCTGGGCTAATCTTGATCAGAAGTCCAGGTTAGTACATGGAGCTAGAAGTGCTGCTATCACTGTGTAGATTATTAATGTCTCAGCAACAGTTATATTAACTGTGTCAAAGGACTACTTCCCTTAAAGAGAAAATGGGAGAAAAAACCTCCAGCTATCTTTGTACCCGTGACTGACATCTGGACTGCATTTATGTTTGATGCACTGTTGAGGGAAATTTGCCATACAAATTGGTATCGATATCCTTATATTGTTGATGCACTTTATGTGTATGATTAGAAATGAGCACTAATTTCAGAGGTTTCAGCTTGATGAATTTTAGTTTTTTCCTGAAGCATTTTCATTGTTAAGCTCCAAATTGGATATCGCTGTGCAGTGTACTGTACTTCAGACAAAGCAGGAAAGTCAATCTAGCGAAGTTCCTGGGAGGTAGCTGTAGCCCTTTACAATGAAATGATAGCTCTCACGGTATACATTTGACATCAAAACAGTAGTTAGTAATTCTTTGGTTTTGATGGGACATGGTCAAGAAGTAACATTGTTTTTTCTGTAGGATTGTTTTATAACGCACACAATCAGCGATCAGACAGCAAACAAAGTCTTGGAGCCAACAGCTCCATGTTCTGTTGTCCTTAATCATCTGTCTTACAACAAGATAGCCTTGTGTCTCCCCACTGCTTTGCTTGTATGCACACGGTATGCTTGTATGTTGTTTAACAGAAAAACCCAGAATGCTAGTATTTTCTTAACCATGATATGAAATCAAGTCTTGTGGCCAGATGGCACAAAACATGAAATTTTGGTTCCAGGGCTAATATTTTAGTAAAACTTGACTGAAAGTAATGCCCGTGAAACATTAGTCTCAGATGGCCACTTGATCTCTACACAGAAATTTTGTGAACTTCACAGAATACTTATTTATGGGGCATTCATGTCCAACTTAAACAGGTAAGCAGAAAGATCTTTAAGAATTTTATGCCAATTTTTGTTTTCTAAAATCCATCAGTAAATTTTACATCTAAAAAATAATAATTTCTAGCAAGGACTTGACATATAGTTGGCTTTCCACTCTTTTGTTTTATCCTACAAACTATTAGGAACACTTTTCTTTTAAAGAAAACACCACTCATGATTATGCAGAATGTCCATGTTCAGGAAACGTGAATGACAACAGACATAGGTGAATGACAGCTGTCGTAACCTGGACACAGCACCCTGCCAGGTTCTGCATTCGTCCAGTTCTGTCTCCTCCCCTCTCATCTGCGTCCCTCTACCACCTGTGCAGTTTCCACATTAAACTGCAGTTCCTTAAACCCTTTCTCTATCCTCTGGGTTAATTTTTCCACAGTTGAACTACAATTTCCTTCCTTTTGTCTGTGCAGTAATTGAGCCCTTCTTTTCAGCACACAGTGGGCCATTTCACAGCTTAGCCTGTGCAGTCACCAGCCTCCTGCTGCCGTCATGAGTCACACGTGCCCGGTGCCCAGTGTTTGCAGTAGCTGTGGCATCGGGTGGAAATGGCCAGACACGCGTTTAGTCCTGTCTTTGTGTTCACACATTGTTTCACTAAGCCGGGGACTTTTAAATTCTAGTTTCATTACCTGAATATCAGACTATTTTTCTCATACAATGTATGTAGTGTCTCATGACTGGAGTTTGCTTTGTCCTATAGCACCTGTACTTGTATTGTTTCAAGCGCTATTTTGAAAACAGATGATGTATTTCTCCACTGAAAACACAATAAAAATAAACAGCAAAGAAGTTAGTAAAGGGGTCTAACCTGGCGTTACCAGTGCGGATGTTCTTACGCTGCTCGGAGCAGGGTGAAGCCATTGAGGAACGTTGACTTTATGAAATCTAGAATTCATGGTGTACTATTAGGGGAAATTACAAAGAGGCCGAAACTTCAAATCCGTAAGGTAAAAACTGGAGTTTAAAGGCCTTAATCCAAAAGAAGGCAGGAAAGAAAGGGGGGGCACATAAAAAATAATATAAAAAGAATACAATCTAAGGCGGTGGAAATGAAACCAAATATCTGTCACTGTGTATAATAAATGGAGCAAACTTCCTGACTAAAAGAGATGGTCAGATTCCATGGAAAAACAAAGCCAGCTGCGTGCTGTTTTCCTTTCTTTTTATTTTATTTTATTATTATTATTTTTTTTATATGAGAGACACACCCAAAATGTAAGACATAAGAGAATAGAAAGAAGAAATACTGATGAAAAGAAGCTGTTATGTAACAATATCATCCAAACAAATTTCAAAGCAAAAAAAATGACTAGGGACAAAAGGACCAGTGCATTAATGATAGAAGAAAGCACATCAGGAAAATGGAGTGATTGAACACCGGTCTGCACTCATCAGCCTCAACACAAGGTAACAGAGATAAATAGGAATTGTCAGCGCCATAGAGGATTTTAAAGCAACGCTTTCATTAATGGCATCAAAATGACAAAAAGGGAACCGGTTTAGAGCCCGACCGGCAAACCTTTTCTGTAGCGCTCGGCCGGAGAGTGAGTGCTTTGTGCTTTGTGAGGCCACACAGTCTCTGTCTCAACCACTTGCCTGCCGCTGTGGGTGAAGGCAGCCCTGGACAGTATGTAGACAGGCGGCCAGGCGGGGTTTCTCCCTGCTCCTGGCTGGAGTTTGTCACCCCTTACCTAGTGGACATTTATGGTAGCGCCCGTCACCCAACATTTGGAAGTGCATATTATTCTCAAACTAGGGGTCCAGTGCATGAATTCCTGCACCTCGGAAGGAACTGTGGGCCACGAGGCTGCGGTGGGCACAGGGGCAGGCCTCAGCCCATCCTCTGTGCCCCTGTCTGGCCCCTCCGGCTGCGGTCCCCAGTCCCCTTTCTGCTGGCAGCCCCGCTCCCACCGCCACTGCCACTCCCATGCACAGACGGTGCTGGCCCTGCTTGCACCCGCTGGCGGCGTGGAGCAACTGGGGCTGCCGTCAGCAGTGGGTGCGAGTGGGGCCAGTGCGGAGCCATCAGGACTGGTGCTGGGCACCAGCAGCAGGTGTAAGCACCGGGCGGGACTGCGGTGCGCGGGAGCAAAGAATTTTCAGTAACCACCGGAGGCTTGCCCAGTGACAGTGACCGGTGCCCCGGCTTGGTCTGGTGCCCCCACTCACCGCCACTGCCGACGCCTGCCATGTTCCGCGCACACCCCCTGATGGTCAGCGCACGTCACAGCGACCGGTTGTTCGGTTGTTCCGCCGTTGGTCTATTTGCATATTAGGGTTTTATATATATAGATAAGCATTGGGCATGTGCAAAAATTAACCCTGAGCTAGATCAGAAAGTAGGACAACATCTTTCAAAGCATCAGCTTCACAAAACATGTTCTGTGATTCCAGGAGACACAACAAACTCCCACCGTGAAGAAAGAGGCTGAGGGACAGAGTCCCTTCACTGTATCAAATAATGAACAAAAAGGCGCTCAGCCACATTAGTCAGGAAACTAATTCCTTAAAGTTCAGCGATCAGCGTGGCGAGGCTGAGGAGCGGTGGGGGCGCCGACACAGCGATGACGAGGGTGCCAGTCGCTTTGATCCCTTTGGGAGATGTTGGGTCTTGTCTGGTGCCGGTGACATGCCCACTCCCCGTGTTCCATCTGTTCTGTGAGCAGGGCTCTGCCCCAGGCTGTGGTCACTGAGGGGCTTCATCTACCCGGTCCCTTCCTCCCTCGCAGTGGCCTGTGTGTGGGTCATCTCGGTAGCCCTGGCCGGAACTCTGCACACCCTCCAGTGCGCCATGTGAATATCAAGTTCTCCCTCTATGTCACGGGTCAGAATAGCTGGGGAGACCGCTGCCCGAGGCACCAGGAGAGTCTGCAGCGTGTTCTGTAATAGTTAAAGCTGAGGTACCCCCCAGATGCACACGTGGGGCTGACACAGGGCGTGGCGTGCAGTAGACAATGGAAAGCAGCGAGATTCAATGGACCGTAGTTACATGATCGACGTGGAGTCAGCTCATAATGTGGAGGGAAACAGGAAATTGCAGAAAAGCGTGTGGGTATAATGGACACACGGTTTAATTTAGGGTTACAGGATGCGTGGCGTAGCTGTAGCTGCAAAGCAAGGGGATGCGAAGCACGGACTCCAGCCGGGTTCCCTCGGTGGGGGAGAGGCGGGGAGAAGCAGGGGTGCAGCTGTGAGCACGCAGCCAGACTGCAGTGCCCACTGTCTTGGGGCGGGGGGCATGAAGTGGTGTTCATTTTATCCTTAGTCTGAGTTACAAATGTGTTCATGTGTGAACTATTTTATCTATAATAATAAAAGCATAATGTGCTAAATAGACTGGACAGCCGAACAACCTTCCAGATGACCTTCTGAACGAAGCTGGGGCTGCGAGGGCCAAGGCAGACAGCAGCAATGGGCCGAGCCCCTTGCACAAATTTCGTGCATCAGGCCTCTAGTAATTTATAAGCCCAAGTGCTATCTTAAAAGTGTATCAGGCTCTAGCCGGTTTGGCTCAGTGGATAGAGGGTTGGTCTGTGGACTGAAGAGTCCCGGGTTCGATTCCAGTCAAGGGCACATGCCTGGGTTGTGGGTTCGATCCCCTGTAGGGGGCGTGCAGGAGGCAGCTGATCAATGATTCTCTCTCATCATTGATGTTTCTATCTCTCCCTTCCTCTGACATCAATAAAAATGTATTTGTAAAAAAGTGATATCAGCTAGGATCGCATCTGGCCGGAAACAGTAGCTGAACACACTTGGCGACCTTCCTTCTCGTACAGAGGATGTGGGGTCAGCACTGACAGATGCCCCTCCTGGCCCCCACGGACCAGCGTCCTTGCCGTTCAGCCCCACCGCTCTAGCTCCCGCCTTCCATCCTCAAGGTCACCCCGAGGTCACCTCAAGATGCAGGATGATTGCAGGGCCACCATCACACTGTCACTTACGGTCGGAGAAGGAAGAAGGGCCTGGGCAAAGGTGTCCCTGCACACTGTCCTCCTCCCATGGAGCGTCCCCAGAAGTCCCTACAGTGGCCTTCCCTCCTCTTTCATGACGGGGACTTAGTCCCAGAGCTGCGTCTACCTGCTGGGGACCTCGCTTCATCATCGCTCACCCTCGTGCTGCTGGAAGAGGGCAGGCGGGACGCAAGGCCAGGAGAGCAGTGCGGACACAGCGCCCATAGTTAAGAGCGCAAACTTCCAAACCATGCGACGGTAATGAAAAGCACCGTGAGGGGGCGCTAGTGTGGCAGGAGGCTGCAGCTTTAAATGCGCACACAAGAAAATGGGGGCCACCTGCCTACATCACTAGGCACGGGGGACATCACAGCCCAGGGAGAGGACAGGAGGGCGACAGCAGGAGTAAAGAAACCAGGTCAGCAGGCAGCGAGGGGCCGGCTCTGAGGAGACTGACGACATCAAAGCTGGCGAGGCTGGAGGAGAGCGTGAGGACGGGACACAGACAACCCAGGAGCCGGGGGCAGAGCTGCGGACACGGGGCAGGCCTGCAGGAACTGCCGCCAGCCCGAGGCCAGCACGTCAGGAAGCCCCGGCGCACGGACTCTCCTAGGAGAACCACCTGCCAGGACGCGCTCGCCCCTGGAAAGCCGGAGCCGCCGCAGCCTGCCAGGGACCGCAGGAGGAGTTTGAACACGAACCGACCCAAACCAGCGTGAAACCCCGGAAACATCAGCCCCAGAAGCTGTGCAGACCAGCTCTCTCTATTCCAGGACAAGGCTGGGCCAGAGAACAGAAAGGAAGGAACCTTTTACCAAACACACACTGTGACCTTCGCGTCCAGACCGGAGGAGGGAAGGCTGGTAAAGAAAAGTTATCAGCCACGTTCACTTCCGAATGTGGACGTGAAAACCAAACACTGCCCAGGGCGATGTCTCTGGAAGGCGAGGGTGACTTAACCCCTGAAATGCTGGC